AATTACCTGGCTTATCCTTGCTACCCTTCTTAAACAAGGGGACAACATTAGCAATTCTCCAGTCCTCCGGGACCTCACCTGTGCTCAAGGATGCTACAAAGATATCTGTTAAGACCCCAGCTATTTCCTCTCTCGCTTCCCTCAGTAACCTGGGATAGATCCCATCCGGACCTGGGGACTTGTCCACCCTAATGCCTTTTGGAATACCCAACACATACCCCCTCCTTATGCCGACTTGACCTAGAGTAATCAAACATCTATCCTTAACCTCAACATCCGTCATGTCCCTCTCCTCGGTGAATACCGATGCAAAATACTCATTAAGAATCTGACTCATTTTCTGACTCCTCGCATAACTTCCCCCCTTTGTCCTGGAGTGAGCCAACCCTTTCTCTAGTTACCCTCTTGCTCATTATGTACAAATAAAAGGCTTTGGGATTTTCCTTAACCCTGTTTGCTAAAGATATTTCATGACCCCTTTTAGCCCTCTTAATTCCTCATTTCAGATTGGTCCTACTTTCCCAATATTATTCCAAAGCTTCCTCTGTTTTCAGTCGCCTAGACCTTATGTATGCTTCCTTTTTCCTCTTTGTTAGTCTCACAATTTCACTGTCATCCATGGTTCCCTAATCTTGCCCTTTCAATCCCTCATTTTCACAGGGACATGTCTGTCCTGCACTCTAATCAACCTCTCTTTAAAAGCCTCCCACATATCAAATGTGGATTTACCCTCAAACAGCTGCTCCCAATCCACATTCCCCAGCTCTTGCCAAATTTTGCTTTAGTTGGCCTTCCCCCAATTTAGCACTCTTCCTTTAGGACAACTCTCGTCTTTGTCCATGAAAATTCTAAAACTTACGGAATTGTGATCACTATTCCCAAAGTAATCCCCTACTGAAACTTCAACCACCTGCCCAGGCTCAATTTCCAACACCAGGTCCAGTATGGCACCTTCCCGAGTTGGACTATTTACATACTGCTCTATAAAACCCTCCTGGATACTCCTTACAAATTCTGCTCCATCTAAACCCCCTAACACTAAGTGAATCCCAGTCAATGTTGGGAAAATTAAAATCTCCCATCACCACCACCCTGTTGCTCCTACATCTTTCCATAATCTGTCTACATATTTGTACCTCTATCTCACGCTCGCTGTTGGGAGGCCTGTAGTACAGCCCCAACATTGTTACCACACCCTTCCTATTTCTGAGCTTTGCCCATATTGCCTCACTGCTCGAGTCCTCCACAGTACCCTCCTTCAGCACAGCTGTGATATCCTCTTTGACCAGTAATGCAACTCCTCCACCCCCTTCACCTCCCTCTCCATCCTGCCTGAAGCATCTATATCCTGGGATATCTAGTTGCCAATCTTGCCCTTCCCTCAACCATGTCTCAGTAATAGCAATAACATCATACTCCCAGGTACAAATCCAAGCCCTAAGTTCATCTGCCTTACCTATTATACTTCGCGCATTAAAACAAATGCACCTCAAACCACCTGTCCCTTTGCGTTCATCATCTGCTCTCTGCCTACTCTTCCCCTTAGTCACACTGACTTCATTATCTAGTTCCTTACAGGCTTTAGTTACTGCCTCCTTACTGTCCACAAACCTCCTCATTTGGTTCCCATCCCCCCGCCACATTAATTTAAACCCTCCCCAACAGCGTTGCAAAAGCACCCCCAAGGACTTTGGTTCCAGTCCTGCCCAGGCGTAGACCGTCTGATTTGTAATAGTCCCACCTCCCCCAGAACCGGTCCCAATGTCCCAAAAATCTGAACCCCTCCCTCCTGCACCATCTCTCAAGCCACTCATTTATCCTGCCTACTCTTTCATTTCTATTCTGACTAGCACACGGCACTGGTAGCAATCCTGAGATTACTACCTCTGAGGTCCTACTTTTTAACTTGGCTCCTAACTCCCTAAATTCTGCTTGTAGGACCTCATCCCGTTTATTACCTATATCATTGGTGCCTACATGCACCACGACAGCTGGCTGTTCACCCTCCCCCATCAGAATGTCCTGCATTCGATCTGAGACATCACTGACCCGTGCACCTGGGAGGCAACATACCATTCGGGAATCTCGTTTTTGACCACAGAACCGCCTGTCTACTGCTCTTACAATCGAATCCCCTATGACTATAGCCCTTCCACTCTTTTTCCCGCCCTTCTGTACAGCAGAGCCAGCCATGGTGCCATGAAGCTGGCTACTGCTGCCTTCCCCTGGTGAGCCATCTTCCCCAACAGTATCCAAAATGGTATACCTGTTTTGGAGGGAGATGACCGCAGGGGACACCTGCATTGCCTTCCTGCTTTTTCTCTGCCTTTTGGTCACCCATTCCCTTTCTCCCCCAGCAATCCGAATCTGCGGTCTGACCAATTTGCTAAACGTGCTATCCACGACTTCCTCAGCATCGTTACAGTCAGTGTGGAATCTTATAAGATCATGCTTTCCGAATAAAACCAAACTGCTTCCAGGTTATTACTCTGAGACAGATTCTGAACAAGGCCTCATACCTACAATTCAGTGTCTGACCTGCAATGTCACCTTTTGTATATTCCTATCACTCTGCCCGATTGTCATGCCAGCACAGCACTGACATTGACTTATAAACACTTTACTCACCATCTAACACTCTTGGTCGCCTGCAGAGACTTATTATCTGACGCTGCACTCAGACCATTTGTATGATCTTTTCATCGCTCTGCCTATAAACTCTGTGTCTGTGTGCTCTGCTGTCTCACTGCACCTGACACAAGGGCTGTGCTCGACAGCTTGTGGTTTCAAATAAACCTGGTGGACCGAAACCTGGTGTTGGGTGACTTCTGCATTTGGAATATTCAGAGCTTTGGGCCATATCTAAGGATGGATATCTAGCCTTGGAGCAGACCCAGAGGAGGCTTACAAGAATGATCCAGGGATGAAAGGCTTGTCAAATGAGAAGTAGTTGAGGAATCTGGGTCTGTATTCAATGGAGGTCAAAAAAGTGAAGAGGGGGGCTTTCACTGAAACCTATAGAATATTGAGAGGCTGGAATAGGGTGATTGTGGAGTAAATGTTTCCACTAGTAGGACAGACTAGGATCTGAGGGCACAGCGAAGGGATGACCTTTTGGAGCTGAAATTGGGAGGAATTTCTTCAGCCAAAGTGTGGTGAATCTGTAGAATTCATTGCCACAGAAAGTTGTGGAGGGCAAGTCATTGGGTATATTTAAGACAGGGATGGATAGGCTCTTGATTAGTAAGGGGTTTAAAGGTTACAGGGAGAAGGTAGGAGAATGGGATTGAGAAATGGCTGGTAGAAAGGCAGAGCAGAATCGATGGCCAAATGGCCTAATTCTGCTCCTATAACTTGTGATAATGATCCAAGATAACCACCTGCACAATGGGCAAACTGGCACAGGGCAAGTAATGGGACGGAAACAAAACAAAGCAACTATATGCCAGTTAGCTGAATATCTGAAATTGTTAGAGTCTATTATAAAGGATGGAATAGCAAAGCATTTCAAACAGAGAAAACATGGCTTCATACAGGGGAAGTCATGACTGACAAATTTATTATAATTCTTTGAGGCAGTAACCAGCAGGATAGATAAAGGAGAACCAGTGGATGTAATCTGTTTGGATGTACAAAAGGCATTTGAATAAGGTATTGCACGGAAGGCTGCTTAATCAGATAAGTGCCCATGGTGTTAGGTATAGCATATTAGAATGAATAGTAGATTGGATAACTATTGAAAAACAGAAGATGCCAAGAATTGCAGATGCTGGAGTCAAGAGTCAACACAGTGTGGAGCTGGAGGAACACAGCAGGCCAGGCAGCATCAGAGGAGCAGGAGAAGTTGACGTTATGGATCGGGACCCTTCTTCTGAACTCTTCTGATTTACAATACTGTTATTTACAATATTAATGATTAGAAGGAGGGAAGTGAATGCATTATCGCCAATTTTGTGGCTACCAAAAAATAAGTGTGAAGACAAGTAGTGAGGATGACATAAGGATTCCATAGAAGGATATAGACAGGTTAAATGAGAGGGCAAAAGCTTGGCAGATGGAATATAATGTTGAAAAATGTGAAGTTATGCACTTTAGCAAAAAGAATAGAAGAGTTAAATACTCCTTAAATGGAGAAAGACTGCAGAAAGATGTAACACAGAGGATATGTGGACCTTCTTGCATAGATCACAAAAAGCCAGTATTCAAGTTTGGCGAGTAGTGGGGAAGGCAAACGAAATGTAGGCCTATATTTCAAAGGGAATACAGTATAAAAATTGAGGTCTTACTAAGCTGTACAAGGTACTAGTCAGACTACACCTAGAATACTGTAAACACTTATAGTTCACTTATGTAAGAAAAGATACACTGGCATTGGAGACAGTCCCAGAAAGATCTTCAAGATTGATTCCTGATACGGAAAGACTGTCTTATTAGGAGAGATTGAATAAGCTGAGTTTGAACTCAGTGGAGTTCAGAAGCATTACAGAAGTCCTTATTGAAATATATAAGATTCATAGGGGGCTTGACAGCATAGATGTGGAGAAGTGGTTGCTCCTTGTGGGACAGTCTAGGACCAGATGGCATAATCTCAAAGCATGGGATAACCCATTTGACAGATGAGGAGGATTTCTTTTTCTTTAAGTCCACAGTGAATCCATGGAATTCTTTGTCCCATAGGGCTATTGAGATTGGGTCACTAAGTATATTCAAGGCTGATATGGAGAGATTTTTAATCAGTAAGGGAATAAAAAGGGTTATGGGACACATGCAGGAAGGCGGGGTGGAGGATGATCAGATCAGCCATGATCTCATTGAATGGGGAAGCAGTGTCAAAAATGTGATTTGCCAATTTCCGCTAGTACATCTCATGAATCTCAAAACTCAATTCTCTTGTGAATCAAATGCTGTCAGTCAATTCAGAAATATTAAATAGAATCTTGATGTTAATTGATAATATTACAGTCCAGTATACGTTAGTTGCTGCTTCACATGCCTGATACCTTGTTGGTCGGATCTGTATAATAGTCACCCCTGTCACCTGATCTCCATGAATCAGTGTGTGAAAAATCGGAGCAGGGCCTCTCCACCTGGGAAGGAGACTGGGATGTAGGTTCAATATTCCACTAGAGACAAGGAGAAAGATAGATTTAAAAAATAGGCACTGAATCAGATTTATGCAAATCCTTATAAATCTAGATCAAAAGGGCAGTGAGAAGATATACCTCAGGTGGGTGTTGCAGGGATGATAGGGGAGAGAGAGACACACACAAACAGGGAGGCAGACAAAAACAGGCATTTGAGGTGGCTACAATGCAGGTCATAACATAGCTTTAGATCCAACCTATTATCTTCATATGGATAAGGAGCAAGAGGAGACCATTCAATCACTCAAGTCTGCTCTGCTGTTCAATAAAATCTTGGCTGATCACATTCTGGCCTGAGCTTTATGTTTCTACCTAACCCTGATAACCTTTGGCTCCCTTATTAGTCAAGAATTTGTCTATCTCCACCTCAGAAATATTCAATGACCCTGTATTGACCACGTTCTGGGGAAGAGAGTTCCAAAAACTCACCAGCCTAATAGGAAAGAAATTGTCCTCATTTCCATCAAAAAATACAGCATCTTCCATCTAAAACTGTTCAGCGATTCTAGTGTCCACCCAAAAGGAGAAAAATCCCCCTGTCAAGTCCCCTCAGGATCTAATAATCCTCCATCCTAGGTGTCAGATAGGCGAACCTTCTCTGAACTGCTTCTAATGTAATAAGATTAAAGTACTCTAGATGAAGTCTCATCAACATCCTGTGTAACAGTTGCAAAACATACCTATTTTTACAATCCATTTATATTGCAGTAAAAACAACATTCTATTTGCCTTCCTGATTGCTTGCCGAAACTGCATACTAATTTTTGTGATGCATGCAAAAGGACACCCAGATCCCACCATAACTCGAGTTTTGCATTTCAAATGAGATGACATGTTTCTCTTTTTTCTACCAAATGACAAGGTCTCATACGCACACATACTTCATCTGCCAAACTTTTGCCCACTCACTTAGTCTATTGTTAGAACCCGCACTGACTTTTCATTCTTTTTTAATTCTTTTATTAACTTTGGTTTGGAAATGTGAACTGTGAGCTGAAGATCACTGTTGGACTATGGGCAGAAACTGGTCTTTAAAAAAAAGGAACAAACAAGCTGTTGTTCGTTTGAGGTCAGACCTCACCATTAATTGCAGTTTGGTTCTTGATCAAAACAATTTTACAGACTCCTTCACACCAGGGAAAGTGGTATGTTTAACTAAAAAGCAGATGTTTAGTCATTAACAAAGTCAGTACCCGGAATTGCTGCCATCAAGTCTAGGAGGGAATATAACAGTCAGAGGCAGGGGCTCAAAAGTTTGAACTGGATTTTGGACTGCATTCCTGCAAGGAGGAGTTCAGCTGTTGGTATACAGCGGTATACAAAACTTTGAAAGCTCCATGCCTAACCTCCCATTATCAGTTTCTACTCTTTGAACTTCCAGTAGCCAAGTTATAATTATTGCTGAAATTTCCTCATAGAAACTGAAAAAGCTGACACTGATTGATGTCCTGAGAAAATCAATGAAGAAACATTCATACATGCCCATGGAACAACACATCTTGAAAACAACAGTAATCTGGAGTTTTGTTATTTTCTCTTTTTTTAAATTAATTTCAACTTTGTTTGTTTCTCTGTCTTCTGTGAATTGGGCTGAAAAGGAAGTTTATTGGGTTTAAAATCATAGACAGTAATTAATTACATTGTCGTTTTAATTTTGCTCTACTAATGATACTATATTGTTGATAAACTGTTAAATATTTTGTTTAAGCTACAAGCCCGGTATCAAGAATCGACTATTCACAAAATTTGAGACTGGTTATTCAAAAAGATTTTATTGAAGGTTTTCAAAGGATCCAATTCTACAGCGTTGCAGATGCAAAGGTAAGGAGGCTGATTTGATTTTGCTGACTATCTGCTTCATAACATAATCTACACCACTTTGTATTTTCCTCACATCGCCTTCACAACTTACCTTCATACCTATGTGTACTGTCAGCAAATTTAGCAACCACATCTTAAGTCCCTTCATTCTCGCCACTGAGCTATATTGTAAAAAGCTGAAGTCCGAGCATTGATCCCCATGGCGCTCCACTTGTCACGTCTTCCACTTCAGGTACGAACTCTCATATGACAAAAGCCATTTCCAATCATTTATAGAGGAGCACATTTCATAAAAACACAGAATCTGAAGATTCTCCAAAAGAGCACCTCCACCAAGCACATTGTTAAAACTTGTCTAATGTTATTACTGCCAAATAGGTCTTCTATATTCTCAATGCTAACTTTAAAATTCATCATTTTCCTGCCGTTTTATTCTGGAGAATTAAACTATTCCTTCTTTTGTTGAGTGAAAATGCTGCTTTGCATTTTCAACTACAGGGAAATATCAGTGAGAGGGCAAAGAGCTAGAAAGGAGGGTAAATGACAAAATTGTTTGCTAATGGGGGGGATGAGAGACGGACAGCAGAGAAGGTAGTTGAACTATAAATACAAAATCAAAGGAAATCAATCTTGTAAATTCAATCTCAGATTACATTGGTATCTCATTGGTAAGTCTCAAGTTACACATAACAATATTCAGCTTGTGGATGCTACTACTCGAAGAGTCTTTATTGTGGTTGGTCATAATGTACAAGAAAGAATTACTCACTATGGGAATTGCTGTATGAGTGTCTCACTGAGTAGATTCCCAAATGATACAATTATGCCAACGTCAAAATAATCATTTGGTGCGAAGTAAGGCCAATCATGAACTGAAATCTGATTCATCAAGGCATATTTTCTCACAGGGAGTTCAGCTGATTTAGTGGCAGGCAAAGTAACAACTTCCAGCTGTTGTACCAGCATCTTTCCAGTTTTCAAGAATCTACTGAAAAAGAAATTAAATCGTTTCAGTATTGATAATTTCGGTTCCAGAGACCATTTAGACTGATGCAGTACAGAAAGCAGCATTCAAACGATTGAGGAGTCAATGTGGAACAGTGCTAGGGACAGGGAGATGGAGGCAGCTGGAATCTGCACCCACAGAGTAAGAGGCCTGCACTGGGATTAGGTTACATGGGCATAAAAAAAACTGGGCACACATTTGTATTAAAATGTGGTGCTAATTTAGTTTGAGGCTGGTTATTTCCAATCATAATCAGACTGCATAACCTAATGCCCAAACAACAATCCATCCTTGACTCCTCCCCAGGTCTCTGCCATTGAGGCTCCTTCTCTTCCCCACCCCGCACCCTCTCTGAGCCCATCTCTTGATCCTCTCTTATTTCTGATCCTTGATCTTATCTGACCCAAGTTCCTAAGACTCTCTGAACGCTAACCCTTCACCCTACATTTACCTGGACGGATGCAATTTCTCCAGCACTCGCTGAGCAAACTCGTCGGTTCCAAAGAAGAGAATCCTCCAAGGAGGCGCGGTTCGGCCCTGCCGGCGGCCGCACTCTTTCTCCAGGTGAGCGCCTATCCTCCCCGCACAAAACAAGCGATTCACCGTCTTCCCCATGCGAGGGAAGGTCCGGGCTGCAGCCCAGGCCAGGCCCGATGCTGGTCTCCACATTCCCCACGACCCAAAGACACCGAAATCCAGCTCGACCTCAGGCTCCGGCACCGCAAGGCGCCGCCATCTTTACCACAGGGACATCTTCTGATTTCTGGTCCTTTGCTGACGTCCTTCCCTCGCTGCCCTCCGCAGAAGATAAAGGTTCCGGTAAAACGAGAATGGGTTGTGCTGCAATTCCAAGGGCTTCACTTCTGCAGGTGGGGCTTAGACCCAAATAATCAGGTTTAAAGGTAAGGAGACAAGGTGCAGGGCTGGATGAACACAGCAGGCCAAGCAGCATCATAGGAGCAGAGAGGCTGACGTTTCGGGCCTAGACCCTTCATCAGAAAAGGGGGAGGGGAAGGGGGTTCCGAAGTAAATAGGGAGAGAGTGGGAGGCGGATAGAAGATGGATAGAGGAGAGGATAGGTGGAGAGGAAACAAACAGGTCGAAGAGGCGGGGATGGAGCCAGTAAAGGTGAGTGTAGGTGGGGAGTTAGGGAGGGGATAGGTCAGTCCAGGGAGGACGGACAGGTCAAGGGGGCGGGATGAGGTTGGTCGGTAGCCAGGCACTTGGTGTTCACAGTATCAGACCTACTGAGAATTTTCAATTGTTCATAGTCTCCTTACGTGTTTCTGCTGCACATCTAAATGAAGAATTGAAAATTCTCAGTAGGTCTGATACTGTGAACACCAAGTGCTTGCTTTAATAATGTGTTTAATGGATAATGTAAAATCATATCATTGAGCCGAGTCAACAGGGTTTCACTAAAGGGAGACTATGATAAAATGCTTATTCTTTAAAAATGGTACCATTAGATACAAAATGGGTGACTGATAGATGTGTACTTGGATTTTTAAAAGGCATTTGGTGATGTGCCACAGAGAACATTTAAGGGAGACAATAATATTTGGATGTACTGGTTGTGTGGGACTTCTGTTTTGTTGTAAAATAGACCAGTGTGTTTCATCTGCAGTGTTTACTGTTTTTTTTCTGGGTAAGGTTTAGAACATAGAACATAGAACATTACAGCGCAGTACAGGCCCTTCGGCCCTCAATGTTGCACCAACCTGTGAAACCAATCTGAAGCCCATCTAACCTAAACTATTCCATTATCATCCATATGTTTATCCAATGACCACTTAAATGCCCTTAAAGTGGGCGAGTCTACTATTTTTGCAGGCAGGGCATTCCACGCCCTTACTACTCTCTGAGTAAAGAACCTACCTCTGACATCTGTCCTATATCTATCACCCCTCAATTTAAAGCTATGTCCCCTCGTGCTAGCCATCACCATCCGAGGAAAAAGACTCCCACTGTCCACCCTATCTAATCCTCTGATCATCTTGTATGTCTCTATCAAGTCACCTCTTAACCTTCTTCTCTCTAACGAAAACAGCCTCAAATCCCTCAGCCTTTCCACATAAGACCTTCCCTCCATACCAGGCAACATCCTGGTAAATCTCCTCTGCACCCTTTCCAATGCTTCCACATCCGTCCTATAATGCGGCGACCAGAACTGTACGCAATACTCCAAGTATGGCCGCACCAGAGCTTTGTACAACTGCAACATGATCTCATGGCTCCGAAACTCAATCCCTCTACCAATAAAACCTAACACACCATACACCTTCTTAACAACCCTATCAACCTGGGTGGCAACTTTCAGGGATCTATGCACATGGACACCCAGATCTCTCTGCTCATCCACACTATCAAGAATCTTACCATTAGCCCAGTACTCTGTATTCCTGTTACTCCTTCCAAAGTGAATCATCTCACACTTTTCCACATTAAACTCCATTTGCCACCTCTCAGCCCAGCTCTGCAGCTTATCTATGTCCCTCTGTAACCTGCAACGTCCTTCCGCACTATCCACAACTCCACCGACTTTAGTGTCATCCGCAAATTTACTAACCCATCCTTCTACGCCCTCATCCAGGTCATTTATAAAAATGACAAACAGCAGTGGCCCCAAAACAGATCCTTGAGGTACACCACTAGTAACTGAACTCCAGGATGAACATTTCCCATCAGCCACCACCCTCTGTCTTCTTACAGCTAGCCAGTTTCTGATCCAAACCGCTAAATCACCCTCAATCCCATGCTTCCGTATTTTCTGCAATAGCCTACCATGGGGAACCTTATCAAACGCTTTACTGAAATCCAAATACACCACATCAACCGCTTTACCCTCATCCACCTGTTTGGTCACCTTCTCAAAGAACTCAATAAGGTTTGTGAGGCACGACCTACCCTTCACAAAACCATGTTGACTATCCCTAATCAAATTATTCCTTTCTAGATGATTATAAATCCTATCTCTTATAATCCTTTCCAACACTTTACCCACAACCGAAGTAAGGCTCACTGGTCTATAATTACCAGGGTTGTCTCTACTCCCCTTCTTGAACAAGGGGACAACATTTGCTAGTCTCCAGTCTTCTGGCACTATTCCTGAAGACAATGACGACATAAAGATCAAAGCCAAAGGCTCTGCAATCTCCTCTCTAGCTTCCCAGAGAATCCTAGGATAAATCCCATCTGGCCCAGGGGACTTATCTATTTTCACACCTTCCAGAATTGCTAACACCTCCTCCTTATGAACCTCAATCCCATCTAGTCTAATAGACTGAGGATAATAGTGGAAAATTGCATTGGTCAAACTAGGGTGTGAATGATCAACTGGTGGACACAGATTTCAGTGGGTAGAGATAGACTGGTGGTAAAACAGTAGCTGAACAATGGCTGAACTTGAGAGACAAGATGGATTGGGTGCAGTGAAGGAATGAACAAATCAACAAATGAAAAAGTACAGCACAGGAACAGGCCCTTCGGCCCTCCAAGCCCATGCCAACCATCATGCCCTAATTAATCTAAAAACAAACCTGCCATTTTTTGATCCGTATCCCTCTATTCCCTCCCTTTTCATGTACCCATCAAGGTGCCTCTTGAATGTCTTCAATGTGCCCACTTCCACCACCTCCTCTGGTAGTGCTTTCCAGGCTGCTACCACTCTCTGCGTGAAAAACTCCCTTGCACATCTCCCTTAAACTTTCCCCCTCTGACCTTGAACCTGTGCCCCCTTGTAATTGAAACTTCCACCCTGGGAAAAAGCCTCTAACTACCCACCCTATCTATGCCTCTCATAATTTTGTAGACCTCTATCAGGTCTCCTCTCAGCTGCTGTCTTTCCAGTGAAAACAATCCTAGTCTTTTTAACGTTTCCTCATAGTCAATGCCCTGGAGACCAGGCAACATCCTGGTGAACCTTCTCTGAACTCTCTTCAAAGCTTCCACATCCTTCTGGTAGTGTGGTAACCAAAACTGCACACAGTGTTCCAAATGTGGCCTAACAAGGGCTTTATATAGTTGCAAAATGGTTTGCGGACTCTGGTACTCCACTTCCCGGGCAATGAAGGCAAGCATGCCATATGGCTTCTTAATCACCTTGGCTACCTGTGTTGCCACTTTCAGGGAACAGTGGACCTCCACGCCCAAATCTGTCTGAATGTTAGTATTCCTAAGGGTTCTGCCATTTACAATCTAATTCACACCTAAATTTGATCCTCCAAAATGCTTTACCTCACATTTATCTGGATTAAACTCCCTCTGCCATTTCTGTGCCCAAGTTGCCAATCTATCTATATCCTGTTGTATCCTTTCACAATCATTGGCACTACCAGCAACACCATCAATCTTCGTGTCATCAGCAAACTTGCTTATCAGACCCCCCCATATTTTCCTCCAGATCATTTATATTTACTACAAACATTAAGGACGTAAGACTGACCACTGTGGAACACCACTAGTCACTGGTCTCCATTCTGAAAAACATCCTTCCACCACTACCCTCTGTCTTCTATGACCAAGCCAGTTTTCTATCCATCTAGCCAGGCCACCCCGAATCCCTTGTGATTTTAGTTTTTGTACCAATCTGTCATGTGGGACTTTATCAAGTGCCTTACTCAAGTCCATATAAACTACATCCACAGCCCTTCCCTCATCAATTATCCTCATTACCTCTTCAAAAAATTCAATCAGGTTGTGAGACATGACCCTCCCCGGACAAAACCATGCTGCCTGTCACTAACTAGTCCATTTTCCTCCAAATGCGTATACATCTTGTCCCTCAGTATCTTCTCCAGGAGCTTCCCACCACAGATGTCAAGTTCACCAGCCTATAGTTTCCTGGATTATCCCTGCATCATTTTTTAAACAAGGGAACAATATTCGCTAATCTCTAGTCCTCTGGAACCTCGCCTGTGGTCAGTGAGGATGTGAAGATATCTGCCAATGCCCCAGCTATTTCCTCCCTTGCCTTTCTGAGTAATCTGGGGTAGTTCCCATCTGGTCCTGGGGACTTGTCTACCTTAATGCAATTAAGGATTCCCAAAACTTCCTCTTTCAATATGTTGACATTCTGTAGAGTATTCACACACTCATCCCTGACCTCAGCATTAGTCATGGCCTTCTCCTTGGTGAAAACCAATACAAAGTACTCATTCCGGATCTTCCCCCACTTCCTGTGGCTCTACGTATAACTTCCCTCCTTCGTCCTTGAGCGAGCCTACTCTTTGTCTTGTTACCCTCTTTCTCCTAACATACACATAAAAACCCTTGGGATTCTCCTTGACCCTATTTGCTAAAGATATTTCATGGCCCCTTTTTGCCTTCCTAATTGGGCATTTAAGTTCCTTCCTAATTTCCCTGTACTCGTCCAGGATTTCGTCAGTTTGTAGCTGCCTAGACTTGTCGCATGCTTCCCCTTTTCTTTTGACTAATCTTACAATTTCCCTTGTCATCCATGGTTTCTGAATCCTGCCATTCCTATCCTTTAGTTTTACAGGGACATGCATGTCTTGCACTTTAGTCATTTGGTCTTTAAAAGCCTCCCACGTGCCAGAGGTAGATTTGCCCTCAAATCACTGCTTCCAATCCACATTCCCCAGTTCCTGTCTAGTCTGGGTGTAATTGGCTCGTGCCCAATTAAGCACTCTCACCTGAGGTATCTTCCCTCAAAAGGAAAAGGTAAGAGAAACAAATTGAGAGCCCCTGGATGATGATGGAGAAAGAAATTAAGTTAGAGAAGAAACTGTGTGCTTCTGACAGGTGTCAGGTAGAAAATACAATTGAGAACCAATCTGAACACAGAAGGTATAGTAAGGAGGTGAAAAAGCAAATATGAAAACCAAAGAGCAATCTAATTCACACCTGAAAAGACTGGCAGATCAGGGGAACCATGGCATAGCAAACACAAGGATTTGTCTGCAGGAATCCTCCTTGCACCATTGGACAAAGAGGAGGCAGTGGGCTGTGAGTCACTGGAGCCCCCTTCTTTGCAAGTGGCAAGTCCAACCATCTACAGTCTGGAGTGTGGAACCATCAAGACGTATCATAGAGAATGCTGTAAACTTCCTTTCTCAATTTGTATGATTCAGGTGTTTCTTGCTTGCAGAGCCATTTTAGCTTTGAGCGAGATCTACATAATCTAATACTGAGATGACC